GTAGGACTACTATAATCTAAGCCTTCTGGTGTCTCGTCTGGGAAAACAAGCTGCTGTGAGGGACGTGAACTTTTAAATCTGTGCGACTATAGACGTATTGACTCGTAAAATGTGGGAGCGATGGAAAATGTATCGACTCAGCACATTTTACGGCTTTTACGACAAACGATAATACTTTCTCACAATCGTCAAGATATCAATGTCCAGCAAGACTGAGCTTTCTCATAAGTGAGGTTCGTTCATAAACGTAAAACTGCTGGTAAAAAAGACATTTTTATTACGTCTGCTGTAGATTTCAGATGGTATAAAATACATGGTGGCGCATCGACAACGAAACAGCGGCATTTACTGGCAGCTCAGTTTTTTCTGAAAAACGCTCAGACCCGTCGATTTTGTTTTCTAGGGGGGCACAAGTTTGGCAAAAAATCACGTTAGCATGTGCACCCCCAAAACCTTAAATGGAAAGGGGGGTCGAGTGATACCTTATTTTAAGGGTCTTTCAATTCCCTTTATAATGATATAAAATTAATGTACTTCAGTTCAGTAGTTTTGAAGATTTATTGATTTAAAGCTTAAACAAGACTAATACATCATCATTAGTGGAGATCAATACATTTGGCAGCAAAGTAATTTTAAAATGAAGAATGAACTGACCCGTTAGGTAAGTAAATGTTGAGAATGGCCACCATGACTCTCCATGCAATAATAAAGATTTTGCTCAAATCGTTGCCGCACATTTTGCAATATTTGAGGAGTAATTTGAAGGCACTCATTCACAATTCTTTGTCGCAGGTCTTCTAATGATGTTGGCTGAATAGCATAGATTTTGCTCTTTAAATGACCCCACATAAAGAAATCCAAAGGTGATAAATCTGGCGATCTTGAGGGTCATTCAATGGCACCTCTTCTACCAATCCATCGATCTGGAAACGTCTGATCTAAATATTGTCGAACACTTAATGCGTAATGCGTAATGTGGTGGGGCACCATCCTGTTGGAACATCAACCTATTCGCAATGTACCGCCGATCATTCTGATTTTCAACTATGGCTGTTAATGCAGGAAGAAAAAAGGACCAATTAAATGATCGCCAAAAATACTAGCCCAAATATTTAATTTTTGTGGCCGTTATGACGACTTACTACGCCATTTAAGAAAAAGGAACATTCGTCGGAAAAGCATGTGTTGAATAGAAAATGTTCATCGTTTATAATTCGTTCACTCATATCTTCACAAAATTGTAATCGCCGATCAAAATCGTCTTCATTAAGTTCTCGTACCAGGTGAATTTTATACGGGTGAAAACTATGGGCCTTTAGAATCCGTTGGACAGTACGTCGACTAACACCGCATACATTCTCCAATTTGCGGGTACTTAACGTAGGATCTACTTAAACTTGCCCTAAACCCCCCCCTTCTATTGCTTCGTTCCTTATGGGATTTTCAATGTTGCGTTTTTTATTAGCGACTGACCCAGTTTCCCGAAATTTAGCTACAAGTTCTAGAACGTATTTTCGATGCTCGTTACTGTTCTCATGTCGCTCATTAAATATTTCCGCTGTCCTATTAGCGCACTGATTATTTCCGAAAAATATTTAGATGATTTCAACTCTTTCTGCTGTGGAGTATACCGTGGTTAGTTTATGTAATAAAGCATTACAAGTTATTTTAGCAACGAAGTTTAGTCAAATCAATCGCAAACTATGTACTAAACTCCTATTTAAAATAAGTACGAGATATTTCGTTATCTTTCTTCAAGAAATAACTTTTTGCCACAGAAAAACGCTCAAATAGCTATTTTCAACAACAAAATGATAAACAAACCATGGGCGTAGTGAAGAAAAGCATTTACTTATTAAGTAAATTCTTTTAGTCAAATTTCTTCTGAAAGTAATACAATCTAATCTGATGTACCTAGTCTAGTTTAAGCTTTAAGTCAATAAATCTTCAAAACTACTGAACTGAAGCTCATGTATTTTACATCAGTATAAAGGGAATTGAAAGACCTTTAAAATAAGGTATCACTCGACCCCCCGCTGCACATGTTAACGAGATTTTTTTCCAAGCTTGTGTCCCCCTCGGAAACAAAATCGACGGGTCTAAGCGTTTTTCCAAAAAAAAACTGAGCTGCCAGTAAATGCGTCTGTTTCGTTTTCGATGCGCCACCCTGTATATGTGAAGCAGAACCCTGTATCGAATTTTATTGCCACTTTGATGATTAGTTGTGGAGTTATTTGTAATTCAATATAAGACATGCTCAACTCTAACTACTTGCAGGTCCACCATATTCGATGGCAAAAGGCCAGACTACGGGGTTATAAGGAGCTTCAAAATGAGGTTTTAGATGACTACCATTCTGTTAAAGACTGGCGCTCAGACATTGCTTGCAATTCTTGATTGTTGTTTTAACGCTAGAATTCTACATCAACTCCAGCATCCCAAAAATTCCAGCTTGCTGACTTGACTCGCTCGGAAATTGAGTATAGGGGTGGCTTTAGAAAATGACTGTATAGCTTATGTTAAACATTACCTCTGCTTACACGTAGGAGCTATGGATAGGTAGAGTGACGTTTTAGTTATGTCAAACTATACCACTTCTAGAACGAACAGAATTGAGTGTATGTCATAATAATCGTTCAGTATGTGAAACGAAAAGCAGCTGATCCAAATGACTTAGCTGTTGGGATACGTGTACAAAGGAGAGTGAATTAACCTCAAGGTCTGACGAAATATCATAAAACATGAATCTGTCTTTATATACCGGGTGAGCCATTGATGAAGGACGCCAGCTGCAACTATATACAGGATACTTAAAAGTATGGAGTGTCCAAAATACTTCGAATAATAGGTTTCCTTTGTAGTAAAAAGTTTTCAGGTATAAAAAGATTCACTTAATGGTGACTATTATCTACAAAGTCATTTCAAGATCAAGATAGTTTTCTTGAATGAAGTCGGTACTGTTGACATCGGAAAAACCAAGAGCGCGAAGTTTCACGTTGAAGTATATCTTTGTCCATGACCTTGATCATGTACTTCATCACTATTTGACTGTGTCCAGAAAATATGGAAAGAACAAAATATATCAAAAAATGCATTGTGTAATTAAGCTGTGAGGTTTAAAAAGATTCTTGAAGATGTAAGGTTACTTTTGTTTAGTTTCACCGATTTTGGTCGTCTTGGTTTCATCTAAAAGGGCTTTACAGCGGTCCTTCTGTCAAATTAATTCTACTTTCAGCCGCCAAGTGGCGCTGATCAAAATATCACCATTTTTCTGATTACCTTTGAGCATTAGAAATACTACTACTATACTTAATTTTTTTTAAATAAGAAATATAAGCAAGTTGGAACATGCTAACGATGCACGTTACAACACAACAAAACGTCCAGAGGTTCCAGTTAGCACCAAGATACATTTTTCCAACCTGTGTAAAATTGGAGCACGAAAATGGAAATGTACCGCGAAGGCAAATTGTTCGTATTCCAGACAGAGAACATAATAATACAGCCGTGAGGCGGAGCGCCATTTAACCCCGACATTGGAACCGAAGGAAAAGAAAGAAGTAAATGATTATTCGGCACGTACAGAGGGCATTGATGATAAAACCTTGGCACAGCGTCAGTAGCGTATTAAAATTTTTTTGGGGGCCCTATAGCTATCTACACCATTTTTTTTTTTCGGAAAACTCATTTACTAAATCATCCATAGCTGTATACGATTGGTCTGATATGAATGTCCCTTTGTCCGCTTGCTTACACAACTGGACTTTATTAGATAGCATGGAGCAACATTGTATGCGGTTGGCATAGTCACGCGAACGGAGCAGTCAGATCCTGTACAGCATGTATCCTAAGTCTTCTTGGTACACCTTGTAAAAATTGTGGCCTTGGATTGGTATAACGACATGTTAACAAAGCTCGCAATCATCTGGGAAGCTTTACAGCAGCTCCGGCAAAGCGAAAAGTGCTCGAACGCGGCCTGGCCGATTAAGCTGCGGGCGGACGGAACGGCAGATAATCGGGGATAGATCGTATCGTGGAGTTGAGGTTGAGGAAAACGGGACGTGCGGTTAACAGTGGCGCTCTTGGATTCTGGTTCTAACTTGATTTTATCGTAATCACGATTGTTCTGATGAACATTTAACCCAGCGCAAAGTTCAATAACAATCTATAAAAATAGGCTATATGACAGATGATCAAAAGCTTGAACAATTTGATGCAAACGGATATTTGTAACATAACCTCAAAATAGAACGCTGATACGGAAGAGTATAAAACTATGAAAATCAACGCGTCCTACAATTCTAGGAACGACTGACCATACGGCCATTAGAGTCAGACTTATAGAGCTTCCTTGGAAACAATTGATATCAGATATCGGATTGAAAACAGTGAAGCAACAACGCTTCTTGAGAAACGTTCAACGGAGGATTTAAATATTCATTAGAGAGTAGGCTGGAGCTGTGGTCATCACAATTTGTCATCGGTGTCAGAAAGGTTTTACTAACTGCTCTAGTATTTCACAAAAAGCATTAATTTGATACCCAAATTTTATATTATAAACCATTTATAATTTATCGATCAAACGAACTTACCTGAAGTTCGATCGTAATTATATGAGGGTCCAGTCCGAAAATATTACATAATTGTGTAGTAGTGGCTTTCCATACTTTTTATCACGAGGTTCAAAGCAAAGGAAAAATGCGCCCGTCCGGTCCTGACTGCCGTTCACCTTGATGATCTAGTGGCGCACCGTCCTATTCGCTTCATTCTTCAAAGTATCCAGATGTATTACCTGCAACTCTCAGGGGCGGGTAGGGGTAGGGTTTGTAATATTTTCGGACTGGACCCTCATATAATTACGATCGAACTTCAGGTAAGTTCGTTTGATCGATAAATTATATTTCGGGATCCAGTCCTCAATATTACATAATTGTGTAGCTGTTTAAAGGAAGTTGCAGTAAGACAGGTGGAAGAAACTTTTAAGAAAAACGAAAAAGTTGATACAAACGTTAAACAAATTCAAATAACCGTAAGTATATCCTCTATGTTTCTGATGATAATAGATTCAAGACAGATGTTAAATAATTGTCTTTCTCTACTAGAGGTCTATTGTAAAACCTTGCAAAGGTTTGAAAGTCCTGGCTCCAACCAGCTGATCTGCGTATTGCATCTATATGCACCCCTTGTCTTAGCGCACATGAAGTTGTATTTTTTACCCAGCGACTCAAGGTTTGCTTAGTAGCTGGGCCATGTGGTTTATTGAAGGTGAGAAATAGCTTATCACAATCGGCAGGGCGGAGTGGTTTAGTTAGTTCCAGGTACTGATGTAGGCAAGAAGCAACACACAAGTTAGGACATTCATGAAAATATGGCAATGACAACTTAGGTTGAAGTGTTTTAGGCCCTGAAGTTTTCACAAAATCGGGGATTTGGATGTCTGCCCCTGAGGTAGAAAATTTAATATTAGGACATCTAATAAGAGCAACAGTCTGGATTCTCTGTCCGGTAGCTAACACTAAGAGAGCAACTAATTTACAGGATACGGATCTTAGATCTTTATCGGGCGGTTTATTTAAAAACTTAAGAACATCTTGAGGATTCCATGTAAAATTATATCTAGGCCTAGGCGGTCTAGTTCGAAAAATTCCTTTCATAAATCGTTTTACCTCTGTATTTGTCCCTAAATCGCTAGAAGTGATAAGGGAAAGAGCCGCCCTATGGGAATTGAAGGAACTATAAGTATTTTGATGTGTTCATAACCTGCTGTAGGAATGAAATGATATTGGGTACGTCGTATTTAAAAGGGGATATGTCCCTCAGTTGACAAAATTCCCACCAAAGTCTTAGGCTACAGTTGTATTGAGAAATCGTATTGTCACTCAAGGAGTTCATCATGGTGTCTACAGCCTCCGGAGGAATCCCTTTTCGTTGAAAAGCTTGCCTGACAATCTGGTCGCCACCAGGATAAGGTTTTCCGATAATGGATGTTTCTTTTGGCTGATAGGGCAAAGCAGGAGATTACTTGAGGGTCCAAAGTAGATTGGATTTCCTATAATTAATTGTATAAATAATGGGTACCATGGCTGGTTCTTCCAAAGAGGAACCACCAAGATACCTGATGCTTCGTCACTGATAATTTTCTGTAAGGTTCTCAGAACCATTGAAAAGGGTGGGGACGCGTAAAAGTTCAAGTATTTCCAAGAGACAGTGAAAGCATCAATTTCTTCCGAGCTAGGATCTCTTAACCAAGACATGTATCTATCACATTTGTGATTAGCTACGGACGCGAACAAATCGATATCAGGGATCCCAAAAGTTTGAGCTATTGCGTCAAAGGCATGTTGGTTAAGATACCACTCTGTCTCGGTATGCAAAACGCGAGACGCACGGTCTGCTTGCCAGCTCTCTGATGAAGGAATGTAGGAAGCAAATATCCATGAATTTTTTGATTCGCACCACTTCCAGATGGTTCTTGTCAATTCAATTAATTGCGGGTGCTGCACGCTGCCCATTTTATTGACATAAGCTAGTGCCGTGGAATTGTCCGTTCGAATAAGAACGTTGCAATTTGATAAATCTCTGGCAAAACATTTTAGGCCAAAGTATATAGCTCTTAGTGCCAAAATGTTTATGTGAATATTTGATTCTTGTTCCGTCCATCGACCATAGCTACTTTCGCCTTGGCAAAAGGCGCCCCAACCTTACAAACCAGCATCTGTATAGATCTCTCGGTGAAAATGATCTCGTTTAAGATCATTTTTAGCAGTATTGATATGGTGTTCCCACCAATAAAGTTCTTCAATTATCGTCTGGTTAATGCACATAGTTGCATTGTAATTTTGGGAGTGTTGGCACAAAACAAGGAACTTTTCCTTTTCTAATATTTTGGTATACAACCATCCGTACTTCACTGCTGGGCAAGCGGATGTAAGCAACCCGAGAAACTGGGCTAACTTTACAATTTTACAAGTAGAGTGCGTTTTTTAAAAAACGTTATCCAATTTGAGATTTTTGACGTTTTATTGGTGGTAATTCTATGGTCATTTCGATAGAATTAAAAACGAACCCAAAAAATTTAAATTCCGTAGAAGGTGAGAGGACACTCTTTTGCCAATTGACAACAAATCCCAGAGAAATTAGAAGAGAAGCAACCAAACGAATGTTTCTAGAACACTCGTCAATGGTTCCAAAACCAAAAAGTCATCCAGATAAATTACGCAGGGTACGCCCCTGGCTCTCACGTGGTTGACGATTGGTTTCATTAGTAAACTCATATAAAACATCCTTGAAAGAAAATCGTAAATATTTTCTGTGGTCACGATGAACTGCTAGCATATAATAGGCGTCTTTTAAGTCTAGCGTGGCTCCATAGTTGCCACGATGCACTAACTTACTTGCTGTTCGGGCGTCTTCTAGCTGAAAATGCGGAGCGTAGATAAATTCGTTTAATCGCTTTAAGTTTAAAATAAAGCGTTTTCCACCGTTAGGCTTGTCGGTTAAAAAATGGGAGAAACAAACTGCCCAGTTACATTACCGTGACACTTTTCTATAGCCCCAGAATTTAGTAACCTACTAATTTCGGAACCGATTAATTGGTTTTCATCATATGAATGATTAGCGTTATTTGGGATTTGTGGCTGAATAGGTGTTTTAACAAATGGTAATTTATATCCTGAGATCCAACCCAAAACAATACGATTGTCAGTAAGGGTTAACCATTTCTGATAAAAAGAATTCAAGCGACCTGCATAGTTGCTTACCAATTCTAATGTCGTCTCCTCTTCTCTTGTGGTTTATTCCAATAGGTGTTTTTGTGAAATCTGGATGAGGGGCCCCTCTCGTGACTCACTACCCCCAATCGGTGAGTCGGGGGGCGAGAGTTTAAAGACCCTGATGATCTTGAGGTTTCTGTATAGACAGCTCGGGTTTGTCCCCCTCCTCCTTTTTGTGCCCTTCTGGGAGCGAGTGCTGGTTTAGAAGCGCCCACTTTATTCTGATAAGTCGGGAGTTTCAGATCCTTACTCACATTTAGAAGAGATTTTGCTGTGTCTAATTTCTGAGTTAAATTAGAACCAAAAAGAAATTCTCCGGGTAGGCAGTCATCTGCCAGTTCTTTAGATATTTTTAGACCAGGAACGAGAAGGTTCTTTCGTGTAACCGACATGCGATGGAAGAGATTCGTTAGAATTCGTCCGCTATCACATAGATTAGTAAGGAAATCGCCCTTGAATTGATCTGGCATATGTTCTAAATCAATGAGAATCGTGGAAATTGATCTACCTAGTGCAGCCAGGCCTTTTCCTAGTTGATTTTGCATCTCGACATAAGATGCGTCCACAGAGATGTTTTGTTTTGACGAGGCAGCCTTTACTTCCGGATTCAATTCGGGAGGTCTAAGGAATGATAGTTTTTCTGATGTTTGGTATGCATTAAAAAGCGTTTGAGCATCAGATTTTTTCAAGCCATTAGTCAAAATAGTTTGCCAGATCGTAGTAAGTTGATCGTGCAGGGAAAAAACAGCGCTTTGGTCTGTACTAACATCTTTTCCCATAAGCTTTAAGATGTCCTCAGGTAAGGTTACATCGTTATATAAGATCAAAGTGTCGTCTCCGCAATCCATATTTTCGATATTTGCTTCTGCACGTGGCAACGTTGCATTCACCAGCTGGAGAGATGGAGATACTATCTCCGAGATAGCTGCTCCTCATCTTGAACCGGCAAGGTTCGAGCATGGATCGGTGTCATCGGCGATCGAGATTCTCTCTCTCTCCGATTACGATGGGAGGAAGAGTGAGAAGCGCCAGAGCGGGAACGGCTTCTCGATTTCGAAATCGATCGACGCGGCATGCGGCGATGGTACGACACGCTTGGACTGCGTGTGTGTTCTGAGCGACGCCTTTGTCGTGACAAACGACTATGGGTTGAATAAGAAGTGGACAGAGATCTTGAATTGCGACGATTAATTAAGGTCTCTAGTTTCTCCATTCTTTCTAATAAGTAGGTATACGTGTCGCAATCATTATTACCCTTGGCGTTGCTCGGTGAGCGATTTTTCTTCTTATGACTCTTGGATTTACCCATAATAATCCCTGAAAAAACGGGCTGAAATAAAAGTAAATTGTATGATGCTTCTAGGGAGTCCCGTTAAATAGGCCCTGAATCTCCTATGTTAAAGGCGAAAATATTTGAGAATAATTCAAAAAGAATTACCTGGGGTATCAAGTCAGGCGATATCACTCGGTTTTTCGTCTCTGTTTATTAGCTGAGGCAGCGAACGCAATGAACCTTGTCGCACAAGCACGAAAACCACAATGAAGCGAATAGGACGGTGCGCCACTAGATCATCAAGGTGAACGGCAGTCAGGACCGGACGGGCGCATTTTTCCTTTGCTTTGAACCTCGTGATAAAAAGTATGGAAAGCCACTACTACACAATTATGTAATATTGAGGACTGGATCCCGAAATATAATATATGGGGTTGTCCAAAACGGACGCAGGAAAGTAAACGCATATTAAAACAAGAAAGATTGATATTCAAATCAAGTTGGGTACTTTATTTTGAAGGTTCATTCATACCATTTATGTATGAAAAATAATATCGCTCAAGTGTTCACCACGACTGGATTTACAGACGTCCACGCGATGGTCGAAATTTTCAACGACATTTTGCAACATGGTCGGTTCTATGGCATTTATCTCAGCAATGATGTTGTTTTTGAGTTCTTGGAGGGTGGCTGGTTTGTTGACGTAGACTTTGCTTTCCAAATATCCCCATAAACAGAAGTCCAAGGGAGTCAAATCGCACGATCTTGGTGGCCATGGCACATTTCCTCTGCGCGAAATCACGCGATCACCGAAGAAGGACTGCAATCGATGGATATTGACGTTGGTTGTGTGGCATGTTGCAC